AAGGAGCATTCTGGCTGTACTTCTTCCAAGACAGATTTGTTCGTTCTTCTGGCAGTCCACGGTATATTTGGTATTCTTCACCAACACCATAATTCAAAAGCATCAATTCTTCTTTGGTTTTCCTTATTTATTGTGCAGCTTTTGCATGCATATGAGGCAACTGAAAACACCATGGCTTGGGTCAGGCGCACCTTAGTCGTTAAAGTGACACCTTTGGTTTTTAACCCTTAGTAAAGATGAATTTTAAAAAATATACACCTATGCCACAAAGTTTGTTTAATTTGAAGATTATGGTTGTTGTTAGTTGCTATCTAGTTGATTTCAACTCGTGGCAAACCCATGTATGTACAGTAGAACTGCTCCATAGGGTTTTCAAGGCTGTGACCTTTCGGAAGCAGAGTTCCAGGCCTGTCTTCCAAGGCACCTCTTGGTGTGTTCAAACTGCCAACCTTTTGGCTAGTCTTCAAGCGCTTAACCATTTGTGCCACCATGCAACGCCAAGAAATTAGATATGATTAAAAAAAGTGAAAATAGGGTGCACAGTACTTGGCACATATTAAGAGTTGAATAAACATGAGATCCCTTCTCCTTAGTTTTCTTTTCCAACTGATATGCAAAGAATAATAAATAATGAAAACAGGGGTTTGGACCAAAGGGGGATCGTATTCAGTAACAGAAAAAGTCATGTGGAATGAGTAAATCTTGGAGTTTGTGGCTGATCCGTGTGAACTTTAAATGTCAGTATTCAAGAGAGAGATGGGTCCAAGTTTAGCTGTTATTGTTTATAACAAAAAGTACCTAAAACTATATCCAGGAATTTAGTAGTTAAGAGTACTTTGTAATTGAGAAATAGCAAAAATAAGACTAACTGGAGAGAAATATTTACTTAAAATTTATTAACTAAAGCATATGCCTAATCTCTGTACTCTCTCCTTATGATTCTTCTAGAAATTACTCCCGGCTGTTTTCCGTAGAAAGCTTGAGTTTCTTTTATTGTCAGAAGACCTACAAGGTGACATTCCAGAGGACATCCTCAAGGTGAGAGAGGCCCCTGGAGATGTCTGCCCAGGGTTACAGTCACTCAATGAGCTCAGCTTCCAGGGGCCCAGCAGAGTCAGGTCCTAAAGTTGTTAAATGCACTTTGTTCTCAGGCAAGACCGAGCTAGATAGAGGCCCTTCTGAGGGGAGTTTAGACTTAGGGTAAGTTTATCTGATTTTGAAATTCTTAGAAGTAGGTTGTCCGAAAGTACTAAGTGTAGTTAGGGATTAAAGTTTTTTTGGTTTTTGTTTTCCTTTTCATGTAGAAGGAATACACAACTGTGTTTAAACTAGGCATTTGAATTTTTCACCAATAGATGGAAGGGAATGTGAAAGGAGAAAGGAACTAATGTTTGCTGAATGCCTCTTCTGTAACAGGAGAGGAGGTGCTATACTTAATTCTCATAGCAATCTTCTGGGGTAGATTCAAACTAAGTCTTTACTATATCCATATGGCATATATCCAGTTACTACTTAAGTGCCTGAGGTATGCTCTGAGGTTCAATACTTATTTTCTTTATGACCCTGCCACCCGTTGATGAAAGACATATTTATGGTAGGATAAGATAGGAACTATCACTTGTATTAGGTCAGGGAAGCATGGTCTTGTGATCCGTCTCTGAGACAGTTAGTGAAGAGGGATTCCTGAGCACCGTCTGTAGGCACAGTGGTAAAGTGTGGTATATAACCTACTTCCCTATCCCGTTTCCTCCCTTTGCCCCTACCCTGCAAACCAAATATAGGCTTAGAGATTTATGCCCTTAACAGCTTACAGTCTAGGTGGGGAGGAAGTGCTAATATATGCATAAGATAATTAGGTACTAAACGGTAGGGTATGAATTTTAAGTACTTTAGAAGCTCAGGAAAGAGGGAGAGTTGTGTGTGTTGGAGGTGTTGGGAAAGGTCTTAAGGAAAGATTAGAAATGAGCTAGATCCTAAAGCATGGCTAACCTCTAATTTAGATCAGAAGTTAAAAGCTGGTACGCAATGTTTTAAAAAAAATTGAATTCAGATTCCCTTAGATGGGCGTAATGTCTTATGCCCATTGATTACCTGCCTGGTCTATGAGTTTGTATATCCTGATTTAGATCTACAATGTACATTTTGGAGGCACTGGAGTGGGACTAGCTTGAGCCTAGAGGCCTTGGGCAATTGAGTTAATCTCTCTTTGCCTCAGTTTTCTCAGTTGTAAATTGGGGATAATAATAGTGTCTTTCTCTTAAGGTTATTGTAATGATTCACTGAATTTTTCTGTGTAAAGAGCTTAGAACAGTGTCTAGCACAGAGTAAATACTACAAAAGTATTTGCAACTGCTGCTGTTATATAAACCAAACCAAACCTATTGCCGTTGAGTTGATTCTGACTCATAGCAACCCTATGGGACAGAGTAGAACTGCCCCAGAGTTTCCAGGAAGTGCCTGGTGGATTCGAACTGCCAACCTTTTGGTTCGCAGCCATAGCTCTTAACTAGTACGCCACCAGGATTTCACTATTATATATGTAGGCTAAAAAAGAGGAAAGCATTAAGGCATGCAAGTGATAACATTCTAGACATGCTCACCACCATCCTTCTCTTCATCCTCTCTTTAGGAGCTATACGAGGTGTTCGCACAAGACTCAGTAGACCCTGTGCCTGATGGAAATAGGAAGTGGGAGGGCTGGCCTACTCGGCTCAGCTCAGAAGCTGTCTCTGTGCTCTGGGATCTTCTGAGGCAGGCTCCTCAGCCAGCACAGGCCATGCTGGAGCTCCTGCTCAGGGAGGATGATGGCACCGGCCTCTGTGGCTGGCCTTTGCAGAAGGCACTGGTGGACCTCATTCAGAAGGCACTGAAGGCTTTGCAGGGCCCTGATGCTGGGCCCCCTGGAGTAGCAGATGCCATCTATGGGGCCCTGCGGACTCTATGTTGCCCCGCAGAGCCCCTCGGGGTTGAGTTGCGCCTCCTGTGTGAGGAACTGCTGGAGGCCTGTGGGACCGAGGGGAACCCCTTGCAGGAGGAGCGGCTGCTCGGCTGTCTGCTGCACAAGGCTGGACGAGGCCTGCTATCCCTGTACAGCCATACCTATGCAGAAAAGGCCACAGAAAAGCCACTGAGGGCCACATCCTCGGGAAAAGGTGCGTTCCCTTTCTGCTTCTCCTTGGGTTTAGAGGTTGTCTTTGTTTCCTGGTGCTACTATAACAGAAATACCACAAGTGGTGGCTTTAAAGAACAGAAGTTTATTTTCTCACAGTTTAGGAGGCTAGAATTTCAAATTCAGGGCACTGACTATAGGGGAAGGCTCTCTCTGTTGACTTTAGGGGAAGATCCTTGTCTTTCAGCTTCTGTAGCCTTCAGGTCCTTGGTGATCTTCACGTGTCATCTGTCTTCCCCAATGTGTGCTTCTGTGTCTAATCTGCTCTTTTTATTACTCAGAAAGGATTAGACTTAGGACACATCCTACATTGATATACCTCATTAACATAAAAGAGAAAACCCTATTTCCAAATAGGATTACATGCACAGGTATAGGGGTTAGGATTCCAATACATGTTTTGGAGGCACACAATTCAATCCATAACAGGGATCTATCATTTGGTAATTCTAATATGCCCAACCTCTCTGAAGTTTCTCTGGGCCCATACCCTCCACATTGTGCAAAAAAAATCTAATAGAAGAGACTAAGCAAAAATGGGTAAAGTGTTCTTTTGTAAAAGCACAGATTTTATAATCTAAGATGGTTGTTGATAGTTGCCAATGAATCGATTCTGATTCGTGGTGATCCTATGTGAACAGAGTAGAACTGTTCCATAGGGTTTTCAAAGCTGTGACTTTTCAGAAACAGATCATCAGGCCTGTCTTCCTAGGTGCCTTTGGGTGTGTTCAAACTGCCAACCTTTCATTAGTAGTCAAGCGCTTAACCATTTGTGCAGAGATGGTGGTGATAGGGAAAAAAGTTAAGGTAATAGCAATAGCAGGCAAGAGCTTTCCAGAAGCCACTAAGTGAAGCAAATAGTCTTTAAGATAGAAGTGTAGAAAACCTCGTTTAAGTTTTTAAAAGCACAAGCTCACATGAGTTGATTTTTTAAATGGGTTATAGCTTAGGAAAGAAGAGCTCCTGGTTTACCAGTAACCCCGCCTGGTTTGGTTTTCAGTCTCACTGGATCATCTGGATCCTGAGCGGTCGATGCTAGCTCTGTTCTCCAATCCTGACCCAGCCCAAGCTTGGAAAGTGGCCTATTTCTACTGCCTGAGCAACAACAAGCACTTCCTAGAGCAGATACTGGTAAGACAAGCTTTGTTATTCCCTCTCACAGAAGTACCCAGGGGTTCTCGCCAGGCTTTTTCATGTTCTCATTTCTATCCCACCCACTTATCCAACCCAAAGACATCTAATCAGTGGTGAGTCACTTGATTCTGCCCATCCCACACTCCCTGGAGAAGGAAGACTCTGAGAACCAGTATAATTCATAGTTAGAATTATAGTCATTGTATGTGGATCCTTTGGCAGGAATTAAAATGTTGAAAATGTATAAGCTTTCTGGAGGGTGTGAGGGAGCAAAGACAATGGCAGCAATATGCTGCCTAGCTGAAAGGGGAATTTAATCTAACCTTTTCCTTCCAGATTACAATTGAGCTTCAGTTTAGTTCAATGGGTACTTACTAATCTCATCTTATGTTACATGCACTGTGCTAGGAGCTGGGGTTTCAGCAGAAGTCAGTCCCTGCTTTCAAGGAGCTTACACGCTAGTGTTTTCATGAACATTTATTTTACTCAATGGGCCACTTTTGTGATTGTCAGAAACCTCCCTGCTGTACTGAAGAGCTTTTTACCCCAGTGAGCAACAAGATAGAACTCATTCTTTCTAGTCTACATAACTGCCTATAGCAACTGCTTTTGGCTTGCAGGTGACAGCACTAACACTGTTGAAAGAGGAAGACTTCCCAACCCTTGGCTGCCTGCTAGACAGAGAATTCAGGCCCCTTAGTCGACTGCTCGTGCTTCTGGGCTGGACACACTGCCAGAGCCTAGAGTCGGCTAAGAGGCTGCTGCAGACACTCCACAGCACCCAGGTAACTCTCACTCTTCAGCCTGGGCTCCTCTAGAAAGGAGTGCTGTGGGGCTTTGGGCTTACGCGGAAGACAAGGTCCTGAAGTCGGTCACAGTTTCTGACCCCAGGTGCCTGAGTCAGCATCTGTTTCTTCTCCTCTGTCAACACAGGATCAAGGCTGCAGTAAGCTCCTCAGGGATGCCTGTGATGGGTTGTGGGCTCACCTAGAGGTCCTGGAGTGGTGTGTACAGCAGAGCAGGTAAGGCTCTGTGCATCCAGCTCCCTTTTGCCTTTGGGTGTGTTTGAACTTACACTCCCCATGTGTGGCCATTTCAAGACATCTTTACATAAATGTTTTAGGTTGACAATGTTGACCAGCAGCTAATAATTATTCTAGCTGTTAAACTAGGAAACAAATACAAGGAATGATTGTTGTCACCGTAGCCATAAGGTTATAACCAGAGGAGCATCCTGAAGGATGACAATGCTAACAAAGAACAATAGCTCACATTTCCTGAGCCCTTACTATATGCCAGGCATTGCTCTAAGCCCTTTACATGGATGATTTCACTGAAACCTCACAGTAATCCTGTGGGGTAGATACCAGTGTTATCCTCATCTTGAAGGTGGGGCAACTGAAGCCCAGGGATGTTAAATAACTTGCCCAAAGTGACACAGCTAGTAAATGGAGTCCACATTCTTCACAAAAACCAAACCACATCCATTGCCGTCGAGTGGATTCCAACTCATAGCGACCCTGTAACACAGAATAGAACTCCATAGGATTTCCCAAGAGCACCTGGTGGATTGGAACTGCCAGCCTTTTGGTTAGCAGCCGTAGCTCTTAACCACTACGCCACCTTCTTAGCCTATGTTATACTGGATCACACTTTTCAGTCAACAAATGCTTATTGAGAAGTGTACCAGGCCCTGAGTTTCCCTGAAAACTAGCCTTAGATCTGGGTTCTTATTTTGTTCCTCACTCACCTCACCAGCACTTCCTAAAGTAGAGTAGACAGAGGAGGAAGTTGTGAGGGTCCCTTACTTAAAGTAAAACCAGAGAAGATTCTGTTAGCTCAAAGCTAGAAAGACTGTAGACATTAGGAAGCTTAATCTACAGGTGCTTTCTTGACCCTGCTCACCAGAAAGGCCCTTTCTAGACAAGTAGAGCTAAGTTAATGGATATACTTCTTTTAGGGTAAATAAATGTCATGCTCCATGCCAGACCAATGAAAATTTAGTATTTGGGGAAGTGAAATCTATGCTGTCCTGGACCAGACTAAAAGAACAAGAAGGAATAGAGATTGGTTTCTCAGTGCAATTATATAAACCACCTTCCTGTCCATCCTCCCAACTTTCCCTTTCAGCAACCCCATACCAAAGAGAGATCTCTTGTGTCATTTACACGGTGGAGACAGCCACTCAGTGCTCTACTCTCTCCATCACCTCACAAACCTTCCAGCCCTCAGGGAGGAAGATGTTCTCAAGCTCTTACAGAAGGTGCCCGCCAAGGATCCCCAGCAAGAGCATGGTGAGTTGGCGATGGAGTGACTTGGACAGGATTCGCTCTTAAAACAATCTTGCCGTTGTTTCTTACAACGTAGGATTTATCTAGATGTGATTTCTGGAACATATCATGACGGTAGTCCACTAGTTGTCCTCTGAGTTGGCGCTGTTGGCCCCAATCAGATTACGGAATGTAGGAGCATTTCTCTTCTTTCTTGGTGAGTTGTAGGAAATCCCATGGACACAATTACCCCTCACTGTCCTCATGGAACCATCTGAGGAACCACTAACTTACACTGTTTCCAATTAAACAGTTAGGAACTGCCTCCTGCATTCACAGCATTGTCGCTGTCAGTGTTTATGGAAATTCTTATTGAGTCTCTCCATGCTTCACATTTTGGACCTTCTCCCCACCTCCACATCTCTTCATACTCTATTGAACAAATAAAGGGGTTTAAAAGAAAGACTTGCCTGAAACAACAACAAAGCCTTGTTTTAACTTCAGTTCTTTACTTCAAATTAGTAGGCTTTTTCTTTTTGCTCTCAACAATTGTTATCATAGTGTAGTTACAACCTGCCACACAGGCCAGAAACGGTTGCCTTTGAGAGAAACAAACTTTCTCACATGGCAGCAGGGGCTTCCCAGCCTGGGTGTTGCTTTGATTTACTTTTAAAAAGGACCTACCACTAATTGGAAAGCCAGTGTAATTAAACTCCATATTTTTTTCTGGAAAGATAGGCAGCTTGTTTAGCAGCCTTCTTACAGGAGCTGGAACTCTAGCTACAAGTACCAAAGCCCTCCAAAGAAGAATTTTAAATATGACCCCTGTTGACCCACCAGGACACAATTTAGAACCTGAGATTTTAAAAGGCGAAGAGGGACAGTTGTAGAGCTGGGACTAGAGGGAAGCAAGAGAGGCAGCTAGGGTGCAAAATTAAAGGAAGCATGTGCTCTCGGGGTCTTGCAAGTGCTTGCAAGTCTTGGCCCTGGGCAGTAAAGCCATAGAGGTCAGGGGCATAGAACAGTATTGATCTTGTTCTGCTTACTGCCTTGACCCTGGCAAGACTGAGCTTCCTGAAAGTCTTATGCATAAACAGGTTCATTACAACATGATAATAGCAAAGCATCTCTAGCTACTCCATTGCCTTGCAATAGGGGATTTGGTTCAGTAAGCAACAGGGTGTTTATTCAGTGGAATGATACGCAGCCATCAGAAATTTAGTTTATAAAGACACATAATCAAGTTTGTACTTTAAGATTTTTAAGAAATAGAAAAATTAAATTGTGTATAAATGTCATTACATTCAAGTTAAACACACACAAACACAGAAAACTATGGAAAGGGATAAACCAGAATCTAACAGTGGTTGGGTTTAGCTGGTTGAATTATGGGTGATTTTTTTTTTTTCTACTTTTTGCTTTACTACATTTAGTGCTTTTTTCTTTGATGAGCAGGTAGTGCTTTTGTTATGGAAAGAATTAGGGCCAGATTAAGATCTTTAGAAAACCTGTGCACTACAAAGATGATGGTGCCCTCCCTTCCCACTAAAATTCAAAATTACAGAAAGAGAATTTCTAAATTATAAAAGAAGTATAAAGAATTTCAACAGAGTCTGTGGTTTTTCCCACGATGTCTGATTTAGTGCTTTCTTAAAAATATCAAATATTTAATCTTTGTGCCATTGTTACTTGTCTAAACACATTTTAAGCTTTTGCCTTTTGGATAATCTGGTACTAGGTAGACTAAACGTTTACTTTGAGTTTTAATTTTTTAAAAATGAAAGAAATGTATTTTAAGGAATATAAGCAAGTAGAAAAATCAAATTCTGCTTTTCACTTCTCTGCCACTTCTATTCTGATACCAGCTGACTCTAACCCCTGGAGCTAGGTAAGAGCTCACAAGTTAAAAGCACAGTCATCCAGACTGCTAAGTCTGCTCGAGACTTCAGATGCCAGCCATAAGCTTGGGAATCCCCCAAGCACCCTCACTTCTCACCTGCTGACTACAAATTCGGGGGTTCCCTCTACTCCCTCAGGATATCAGCCATAAGCTTAGCAGTGTCCGGCCCCCCTCACTTCTGACCTGCTGACTCCCATTGCTCCCTTGAGTTTCATAATTCATTAGAACAACTCACAGTGATATCATTATTATTAGTTTTATTGTATCAAAAAGGATACAAATGAAAGCTGCATATAGTGAAATCTGGGAGGGTTCCCTAGACTTTTTGGAATACGGAAGCTTCCCCACATGAAGCTTTCATATCCCAAAAAGGAGTGTGCTACTTTCCTACGTGTGTTACATCTTTCACCAACCGGGAATCTCATGGAACTTCCATGCCCAGAGTCTTTATTCCATCCTCATTGCAGTCAAAGGTTGATTGAATTATATCCCCCATCCCTCTCATTCCTGAACTCTGCTGACATCACTGGTGGTCTTTCTGTCCTGGCCATCTCCCACCTGAACTACCTCATTAGCATAAATCCTCAGGCTTGGTCTGGAAACCTCATCAAAGACACTTCAATCACTGGGTAAATCCCAAGGTTTTAGAGAGTATCTCTTAGGAACCAAGGACAAAGGCCAAATTCTCTGGTAAAGTTAAACTCACAATCAGGAAATAACTTGTTGAATGGCTGTGGGGCCTATGTTGAATAGACTTGTAGAGGCGAGGGGGAAAAGAAATGGAGGGAACTAAAAGTTGATGTTCACTGCAGGAGAAGCCTGGTAGGGAAGCATATCAAACTGACAGATGAGAAAGGGTGAGAACACTTAGCGCCCCCACAAGAGTAGCATCTCTTTGCTTCAGCTATATTTGCAGCCGATGCCTGGAAGAATCATCTCTGAAACTCTGCCTGCTTCTCTCTGCAATTCAGGTTCAGCTGATGCCCCATTCCCTGACCACCTGGGCCAGTGTCAGAACTTAACACTCTACCAGGGGTTCTGTGCCATGAAGTATGCCATCTATGCCCTCTGCGTGAGTTCGCACCAGCACTCCCAGTGCCAGGACTGCAGAGAGGGTCCCTCTAAGGACCTGGCCTCGGCCGCTGAGCCAGTGAACGACTTGCTCTCCTCCCCAGGTACAGCTCTTCTACCCCTCCCTGCTATGAGCTCGCTGGTAACAACCTATCCGGGTGAGTGCTTAGTGTGATAACCCTTTCCCACCAGGATTCAGGGCAGGCTTGATTTTATTATGCCCAGGAATAATTTCATCCCATTTACCAGCCTCTGTGAACCAAAGAGATATAGAGAAAGCAAGTGATTTGCTTCAGTTCTAATGGAGTTTGGTCATCTAGTACAGTATTTTCTAAATGCTTTTTTTTTTTTAATACAATAAGAAAAATATTTCACATCACTCTACAGCTTCACCTACATACTATATGAGTATATGTGTATATATGGGAACACTAGTGGCGCAGTGGTTAAGAGCTCGGCTGCTAACCAAAAGGTCAGCTCTTTGAATCCACCAGCAGCTCCTTGGAAACTCTACGGGACAGTTCTGCTCTGTCCTATAGGGTCACTATGAATCAGAATCAACTCAATGGCAACTGGTTTGGTTTGGTTTTGGTTGTGTGTGTGTGTGTGTGTGTGTGTGTGTGTGTGTGTGTGATCTACATATGTTATCTATAAACTGAAACTAAATTTTAGGAAACAGTACTTCCCTTTCCAAATGGAGCATACTCTTGATTACTTTTCTGTTCTATTCCATTTTATTAAATCAATTTCGTGCGTTCCAGCCCACAGTGTGAAAAATACCAACCTAATGTCCTGTCTTCTCTCATTTTTTTTTATAACTTGTAATTCCATAACTTGTCTTCTGTGACTCGTGGTCAGTTCTCTCTCCCTTCTGTCTTTGAAATAGACCTTCACCTCTGAGCATGGTCATCTCTCACCTAGTATTTCTAAAGACATCTAGGTAGCCAGTGATATGCTTTAGAGTATCAATGAGTGAAAATAGAATTGAGGAGCAAAGAGTCTCCATGCTACCTTTATTCCAGGAACTGAAATATGGAGTACTTGTCACAGATGAGGAGTAATGTAATATTAAACAAGTTGAGACAAAATAATGAATGTTCAGTCAGTTGTACTTTTTAGTTAAAACCCACTGCCATCAAGTCAATTCCAACTCATAGTGACTCCTTAGGGTTTCCGAGGCTGTTAATCTCTACGGAGCAGACTGCCACATCTTTCTCCCACGGAGCCGCTGGTGGTGTCAAACGGCCAAGCTTTTGGTTAGCAGTTCATCACTTTAACCACTGCGCCACTAGGGCTCCATGTACTTTTAGTTAAGGTAGCGAAACTCTTCTGCGAAGAGACATGGCTGAACAGTCCCTGGGCTACAAATCTCTTATTCTTCTGACTGTAACCCCAGTAGCCTTAGTTATTATAAAATATAAATGGGTTAAAGTTGCGTGAATGTTTGAGTCTGGCAAGTAATGTTTCTAATGTTTGCATTCTCTCACTTTTCTTTCTCTGGCCTCTTATACATACTTCTTTAGGTGCTTCAAATCTCTTCTCAACATACCTGGCCAGATGTCAACAGTATCTGTGCAGTATCCCTGACTCTTTGTGCCTGGAACTCCTGGAAAACATCTTCTCGTTGCTCCTTATCACCTCTGCTGATCTTCATCCAGAGCCTCACCTACCTGAGGACTATGCTGAGGATGATGACGTTGAGGGGAACGGCCCCTTGGGCTTGAGGTCCCCGTCAGAGAGCTCTCAGCACACATCTCAGCCCGAGAGGAAATCAGAACAGGGTTTTCTGGGAGTTCCCAGAAGCCTTGCTTATACACTTCCAGGCTGTCTGAAGGCAGAGCCAAAAGACAGTTACCCAGGGCCCCATGGGCACAGCTTTTTGGACCTGAAGCACTTTACCATTGGCATCAGTGGATTCCTGGCTGATGAATTTGCAACGGGGGCCTTCCTCAGGCTTCTCCAGGAGCAGCTGGATGAGATCAGCAGCCACAACCCACCTGAGAAGCCAAAGCTGCTAGAAGGCCAGAGCTGCTCAGGAAGCAGAGATGGGCTGCAGAGCCGCCTGCATCGATTTTCCAAGGTTCTCTCTGAGGCCCAGTGGAGATACAAGGTGGTAACAAGCAACCAGGGCTCAGGTGAGAGAGGGAGCATCATCCTCACAGCTGGTGGGTCCAGACAGTGGGGAGGGAACAGATCCCACCACAAATGTGGGAGAAAGCGAGGAGTGCATGGGAGTCACCCCATAACTGAGGGCACATCATAGCAGCCAGTATCAGAATACAAGGCTATTGCTCCATGCCTCAGAGCCCAGTCCAAGGCTTCCCCTTTCTACCTGGAAGAAGGGTCTATCAGGAGAAGGGTCAAATAAAAGTCTGTCACTCTCCTATATGACCCCATTGGGTTTACTGTTTCAGAGGGGCATCTGACACCCTCCCGAAGATACCAACCCATTGCCACACAGCACCCCAGTCTCCGCCAGGGTCGTCGGACAAGAAGGAGCCGGGCAGATAAGCTGAAGAGCTCTCTCCTCTCATCTTGTTTCCATGCACCAGGCAAGTGGTATATTGTCAGATGTCTAATTTTTTTTTAACATAAACCACATGGTCAAAACAAGCGAACAAAAGCGATGTAAGATTATTCTAGTCTTGCTCCCCAAGGTAACCCCTGTTAATAGTTTCTTATATATCCTCCCAGAAATTTTTCATGCAATACAATAAACATATATATCCTTTCACACATATAGATGCGTTTTACTATATGTACCGAGAACTTCAACTTGCTTTTTTCAGTTATAGCCTTTAATATGTATAGATATATCATACTATGCATTGAGAATTTACTTTTCTCACTGATCATTTTAAAGGCTACTTGCTGTTCCATTGTCATATATACCCTGTTTATATGGACGTTTAAGTTGTCTCCAGGTTTTTTCCTATCATAACAATGCTATAGTAAACAGCCTTGTACACATCTGTGAATACTCATGTGAGTACATCTGTAGGACATGTTTCTAGTAGTAAAATTGTTAAGTCGAAGGTATGTGGACATAAAACATAGACGTTACCGAGTTGCCTAAAAACGAATGAATAATTTATATTCCCACCAACTGTGTAGGAGTGCCTATTTGCACCTACATTCATCAACAATGAGTAGTATCAGATTTTTAAAAATCTTTGCCAATACTATTAGATGAAAAATGGTATGTTATTGCTTTAATACTTTTTTTTTTGTTTAGGTTGATTGAAATTGTCTTTTCATGTATTTATTTGCCATTAATATTTTTCTGAGCATCCGTTCATGTTCAAGGTCAATTTTTCTTTTCATTTCATCTTTCTTTTTGAATTTTAAGATGCTCTTTATATATTAAGGAAAATATTTTTACCTTATGTGCTACAAGTTTTTTTTTCTTCTTTTTTGTTTTTTGACTCTGTTCACAAGCTTTTCTTAGAGTGGTTAAATACAAGAGTATTACACAGAAGTATTAAATGTGTAGGTAGTGAAATTTCCATTATAGCTTTTGATGCCTGCCTTTTAAATAGCTAAAAGGCAAACATCAAAAGCCACAATTAATAAGGAATTACTTATTAATTAACATAGGAATTAATAAGGGGTTCCTATGTGCTTAACAGTAGTAGGTATCTTGAATGAGATGAATGAGGTGTAAATCAGGCCCTCGCCTTCAAAGAATTCAAAATTTACTGCATAGACAGCATACGTAAAAAAATTAAACTGACTGGCCTGACACAGACTGGAGAAACCCCAAGGGTATGGCCCCTGGACACCCTTTTAGCTCAGTAATGAATTCACTTCCCAGGTTCACCCAAAGATTAAACAGCCTTATAAAACAGAACCAGACTAATGGGGCACAACAGCCCAGGGACAAGGACTAAAAGGCAGGAGGGGACAGGAAAGCTGGTAATAGGGAACCCAAGGTCAAGAAGGGAGAGTGTTGACATGTCCTGGGGTTGTTAACCAATGTCATAAAACAATACGTGTACTGTTTAACGAGAAACTATTTGTTCTGTAAACCTTCATCTAAAGTACAATAAAAAAAATAAAAACCAGCCAAAAAAAAAAAAAATTAAACTGAATGGAAGCGTTGCCTGAAAAACAGAAGAAATTTCTTAAAAGGAGAGCTCAGTACCAAACGAAACACTTTGAATCTTGGACGTAATATGTTTAGTGCAAATAGAAGGGAAAACTGCCTCAAAGGACAGGTAATCTAATGGGATTAATGCATATAATATAATATTAAAGCCAAAAGGAACCCAAGACATCATAATTATTGATTAGTTAACTAATTGGAATATTTAATTATTCATTGGACACACAGTTATTGAGTGTAAGTATGTGTCAGGCACTGTGATTGGTGCTGAAGGTACAATGATGAGCAAAACTGAAAAAAAAAAAAGAGCGATCAGTGTGTCCTACAAAAGTCAGGGGAACAGACTTCATGGAGGAGTTGACTTGTGACCTTAGTGTAGAAGAATGAGTAGGATGTAGCTGAGTTGCAACAAGAAAGGCAAGCATACTGGGTAGGGTGGTGGATGTCATGAGAAAAACTCGGAAAAACATCAAGGCTGAGTTGCTGAGGCTCTTAAGCTGCTAAATTAATTGGTTTGGGTCAAAAGGCATAGTTTGCATCCACTTGACCATACAGCCCAAGAAAGTGTTGTTCATCATCTCTTTCCTACAGATGTCCATTCCTTCTAAAAGATACTGCAGATGGGCTCAGTTCACCAAACAGCGGAGGGCTATGAGGAAACACAGTGAGCAAGGGACTCCTTTCCACAGGCTGATCTAGCCCTCAAATGACCACACTAAGGGATAGCAAGTCACCATTCGCAAACCCAGGACTCCAGGAGAGCAGGTGTTAGGGAGAAGCATTTCTTTCCGGGCTTTAAATACTGTGGTCTTTGGTGGACCAAGCCTTATACTTTGATTCCCTACCTTTTCATGTATGAGGACACCTTTTTCTATGTCAGAAAAGTTTGTGACCCTCCTTTACACCCTACTACTTTCTAGTCATAATAGATGTGCTGTTATTTTTTCAGAATACTGACAGTGCTTAGTGAGCAGATGGGGGTCGCTGACCCCTAGAAGTAACTTGAAAGCCCTGGGACTCCGACACCCACAGATTGGTAACCACTGGTATAGGCTTCTACTTGAATGAGCACTTGGGCCACACCAAGCCCACCCTTCACCTGTGATTTATAGGAACTTCCATGTTGCTGCAGGAGGAGCAGCAAGTGTAGCGGTTACCATGGTTCTCTCACTCTCAAACTACCTAGACCTTGGCTTTCAAGCCAGCTTTGCACTTTCTACACTGATTCATTTTCTCTCTTCTTTTTAATACCTCTAGATGGCCAAGACAGAGGTTCCAACCCATCCCTGGAAAGTACAAGTAGTGAACTGAGCACAAGTACATCAGGTATGAGGGTTCCAACCAGCTGCCAACTTTAAGCAGCTTTGCCTTCACAAAGAGTTGCCATACACCATGATGTAAAAACCAGGACTGAGCAGTTCATTCTGTGTTTAAGACGGTTGGTTGATTCTGCAGATGGCCTAGCAGATTTCAGCTGGAAAAAGGGAAATGGCTCTTTCACATCAATTGAGTTACCCCTCAGCAGAGAGAATCAGAGGTGAATGCCCAAGGAAGGTTGTTGGTACTCAGAGTTTTATATTCAAAGAGGATAGCTTTGGTTTGCCCCTTCACTTGAGGAAAACATAAAGACCTGTTTACAGACCTTTTAAAGAAGAACTTTGATGAGATAAGAGTTTGGTGGGAGGTGACAGGGGATAGTTTTTCCTCAATTCTTATTGCCTCCCTGGCCTCCCACATTCTTGTGTCCCAACAGAGGGGAGTCTGAGCACTGTATCTGGGTGGAAAGAGCTGGATGGCCGGTTGCAGCCCCAACCTCAGAGTTCACTCATCCCCATGATGTTCTCCCCACCCGAGTCACTGCTGGCATCCTGCATCCTCCGGGGGAACTTTGCAGAAGCCCATCAGGTGAGGGGAGCATTTGTGTTGAGGTGTTGGGAACTGAGAGTATGAGGGAGCTTAGGCTGAACCTTGTCATGGTAAAGAATGGTAAATCAGCCCCTAGCTAGCTGTTGCCCAGTAGGCCTCAGGTGAAGCTAAGATGCATTGGCAACCCGTGCTACTCAGGAGCACTTGGGTGGCAACATCCTAGCAGGAGAAGCAGGAGGGAGTTTCCATATGTGACCCAATCCTTAGCACTGTGGATTTAGAGACCCAGCCTGGAGGAGATTCAAGATGTTGAATTTGTTTGTTTTCTTAACATAAAACAATGTTTTAACAAGATAAAAGAAAATATTCAGCCACAATCTTACCACTTTAAAAGAAACTAAAATATTTTTGTCTCTTTCTTCCTACTCTTTCTCTGAATACTTGTATTTTTATGTGGTTAAAAATCATGGTGCAATTTTCAATAATAAATAGAATGTCAGTTCAGTATACAAAAATTATTGGGAGCCAGCAAACTAGAATATTCATGTTGTATAGGGAAAAAAAATGGAGCCCTGGTGGTGCAGTGGTTAACAGCTCAGCTGCTAACCAAAAGGTCAGCAGTTCAAATCCACCATCCGCTCCTTGGAAACCCTATGGGGCAGTTCTACTCTGACCTGTAGGGTTGCTATGAGTGAGAATTGACTCCATCATAACACCTTTAGTTGTTTGTTTGTTTTATAGGAAAAACAGCACTGGAATAGAAATCAGAAAGACTCTTACCCACTCTAAGCTTCAATATCCTCCTTTTCGAATTGCAGCTAAATGTGATACCTGATTTTCCTACCTCATGGGAATGTGAAGAGGATTATGTAAAAACTCTGAGAAATACAAGAATCTTCAATTGCTTAAATTTAATAGCATAGAAGCCTATTATTTCTATGTTTACAACTCTCTTGGTACGTGTTATGACACATGCTGGTCCCTTAGCATGTGGGTCAGGATTTTTCTTTCCTATGAATTTTTTGAGGAATAAATCTAGGTGAAATCTAGGTGATGAGATAATTTTTCCTTAACTTCCTCTGGTCATTTTAAATCCTGTACTTTAATAATAATGATAATTGTGATCCTCTGGGAAGATAGGACCCTTGCCAGCCTTTCCTACGTCCAAATCCAGAGGAAGTAGGCAAAGAGTCCTCCGATGCTTACTCCTAAATATTCTCCACTCCTCTTCACCTCCTTGGGCCTTGGTTTGTTGTCGTTTTTAATAAAAGCTTCCTTTTTTAACTTGGTTTTAGAATAAGTTGTGCATATTATAAGAAAATAACAAAATACGTAAACAAGGAAATAAAATTACTTTTAACCCTGTCATCTGGAACAGCCGATATTAATGATGTCGTATATTTTTGGTCAAGGAGCCCTGGTGGTGCAGTGGTTAAGCACTTGGTTGCTAATCAAAAGATCAGTGGTTTAAACCCACCAGCGGCTCTGCAGGAGAAAAGACCTGGCGATCTGCTCACATAAAGATTATAGCCTTGGAAACCATATATGAAGCAGTTCTACTCTGTCCTGTAGGGTCGCTATGAGTCAGAATCGACTTGACGGCACATAACAACTTATTTTTTGTCAATCTTTTTCCAAACTATATATGACTCATATATCTAAGATTATTCTGAATTTAACACTTTATATCCTTCCTTTTTTACATTATACTACAAGCATTAGCCTTGTAACTTTGATTTTAGTGACCTTACAATAATTTGATCAAGTAGCTGCCCTAACCATTCCCTTGTTACTGAACATTTAGATTCTTTCAGCCTTGTAATAAATAGTGCCAAGATGATCACCTTTAAGCATTAAACCTTTTGAATTATTTCCTTAAGAAAGTTTCTCATAAAATGACTGGATCAAAGGATATAAACATTTTTAAAGCTTTATGGATTGTCAAATTGATTTTCAAAATAGGTTGTAGCAGTTAATTCTACCACCGTTCCCTGAGATTTAATTTTTATGCTTTGTTACTGTGATAGATACAAAATGGTATTAATGTTACTTAAATTCCTTGGATTACTGGTGAGGGAAAACAATTTTTCATATATGTATGTATTGTTGTGTGCCGTTGATTCGATTCTGACCCATAAGGACCCTATATGACAAAGTAGAACTGTCCCATAGGGTTTGTTAGGCTGTAATCTTTACAGGAGCAAATCCCTAGGTCTTGGCTGCCATGGAGCAGTTGGTGGGTTTGAACCTTTAACCTTTCAGTTAGCAGCTGAAAACTTAACCATTGCGCCACCAAGTATATGTATTAGTCATATGTATTTCTTCTTTTAAATTGTCCACATCTTTTGCCTATTTTCTACTGAGCCTTTGGTAGTTTTTTTTACTGGCTTTTATGATTTCTTTTGTATTTAATCTGTTCTTCTAACATTCGGTGCTCTCCATTCCCTACAAACAGATGTCTTAGGACCATAGTCTAATGATTGGCAAGATCTCACACCTCTAGAACCTGTTATCATTGAGTCAATTCCGACTCATAGCGATTTCCCCAACTCACTGGGCACACCACAGGCCAACCCACACTCCTGGCTCTCTCCCATGACAGGTGGTGTTCACGTTCAACCTGAAGTCCTCGCCCAGCTCAGGAGAACTGATATTCATGGAGCGCTACCAAGAGGTGATCCAGGAGCTGGCCCGAGTAGAGCACGAGATTGAAAACCAGAACTCAGATGGGGGTACCGGCACCATTTGGAGAACGGGCAGTAGCCGCTCAACTCTACAGGCCATTGGCAGTGCTGCGGCAGCAGGTCAGGCTTTCCTGCTGCCACTGTAGGTGGTGAGGTAGCTGGGGGAGAGGGTATGAGGAGAGAAACCTCCTAAATCATAGGCTTACCATGAAAGTAAGCAGACATCCAAAGCAGGACACCTATTCTGAAGAAGAGGAATCCTGGCACGTTCTTAGTAGTTTTCTAGCTGCGCTCACCCTCCTTGACCATGCTGTTCACATACCTGCCACTTGAGTAACTCCACTGAGCTTGTCCTGTGTGACTTAACTGAGGAACATGAATGCTATTTCAACCTGTGTTGTGGTGGGCACTATACTGGGCTTCAGGAAATGGTTAGGATTTTATATCCTTCCCATACAGTTATTCAGAGATAAAGCGTATTATTCTACTTTTCCGTAAAGAAGTTGTGTGTTCATATGTATGGGGTGAGAGTCACAGGTCTCAATTCCCAATCCTGGCTGTTCTGCAACAAAGTCATTCTCATCCTTTCATTACGTCTGGCAGTGTAATCTGGCCCCGCATTTTCCCATCTCTTACTTTTCTAGGCTCTATGTGTCAAGTTTACCGTCACACATTGCTTCTGATATATTCCCCTGGAAATTTACTTTGCCTAGTCTAGAGAATATGTGCACATCTTTTTGTTTTTGTTATAAATGGGCTCTTACTACAAATACAGTTAACTGCTTTGCCTTTTTAGCAATTTATTTTAGAGATCTTTTTGATTAGCACACTCAGGTCCATGTCTTTCTTTCTCAACCTGCTTTTGGATCCCATTAGAACCCTCATTCATCTTGACCATCTTAAGTTTCTCTTGGTCTCCCTTTCCATTCTATTGTTTTGATGCTGTAAGAGTGGGCTTTAATGATGCTACAGGACATATTCTGTGGAGAGGAACTGCAAACATTTTAAAAATAACCATTTTTCATAATAAAAGTAGTTAGAATCATTTTAACCCCTTGCTTTTTATTCCACTGCTGGGTTTCTAGGCATGGTATTTTATTCCATATCTGATGTGACCGACAAGCTACTCAGCACCTCTGGAGACTCCATCCCCACACTCCAAGAGGACTTTTGGATAAGCAGCACTCTGGTGGAGCCCACTGATCCCCTGAAGGAAGTTCTGGAAGACCTCAGTCCCCCTGCCATGGCTGCCTTTGACCTAGCTTGCACTCGGTGCCAGCTCTGGAAAACCTGCAAACAACTCTTGGAAACAGCCGAACGGCGTCTGAACAACAGCCTTGAGAGCCGGGGTGAGTGTGCTTCTTTATTTAGCTTTGTCCCTTAATCCTCAAGTGAGGAAGTGCAGTTCCAAGAGACTTGATAAGCTGTGTGAGACGAAAGGAGTTAGGGGGAGAGGAAGAAAGGACTAGTGGTTAAATGTCTTCAAGTCTAATCTGATAATATAAACGTAGTCTGTGTTGAGAGTCTCACCTTCTTAATAGATACAGCAATCTCCAGTCATTTGGGGAAATTCTTTTCTGGTTTACAGATAAATTCAAGGAAGAAATACATATTCAAAAATCGTATAAATGCAAATTGTGCCCCTAGACTACATGCCACCTCCTGGGTAGACCCCACTTAACCTAAAACCTGGGACAGTCTTGGAAAACTGAGTGACTCATAGTTGGAGAAAGGATGGTACCTTGAGGATAATAATCTCCCACAATGTGTGTATGTTAATTCTTACAAGAATCAGGGTGTCTAAAGATAGAATTAGGCAAAGTTCCAATCCCAAGCCATCCTTAATACATGTGCCAAGCATTGGAAGGATCTGAGTAGTGAGGGAGAAAGGAACATGCTCTGCCTCAGTACTATGGGGGTGGGGGTGGAGGAATGGTGAATACGTTGTGAGGTTGTGATATGAGTAGCCTGTTATGTCAGGGGTATTGTAGGCAGGGGGTGGCCTGCATGATCAGAAATGTAATAACTACAGTGCTTCCTGTGTGCCAGGCACTGAACTAAGCACTTTTTACATAATACTTCACTTGATACTCCGAGTACCCCTATGTGAAAGGTGACTGTTATTATCCCCATTTTTCAGATGAGGAAACTAAGACACAGAGAGGTTACGTAACTTGCCCAAGATCACAAAGCAAGTATGTAGCAGGGCTGGGATTCAAACGCAGGCAGTTTGGTTTCAGCAGCTGCATTCTGAACCTGCAATGAATTGAGCAGGTTCACTGATTTGCTAGGATAACTCACAGGACTCATTATTTGGTGCTACTCAGAGCTAAGATTTATTACAGTGAAAACATATAGAGAAAATTAGCAAGGGAAAAAGGCTTATGGGACAAAGTCCAGAAGAAACCAAGTGCAAGCTTCCATGAATCCTCTCGCCGTGGGGTCACACAGGATGCACTTACTTCCTCCAGCACTGAATTGTGACAACACATGTGAAATATTCACCAGGGGAGCTCATTAGGCACTCAGTGCCCAACGTTTTTATTGAAGGCTGGTCATATAGGCACTCTGCCTAGCAACTACCAAAATTCCAGAATGAAGGCAGGTGTTCAACGTAAACCACATCGTTTGCACAAGTGTTTAGGCACAGTGAGTCACTTTATCATTTAGGGCATGTTCTAGATCAGTGTAGGGAGCTGTTTAGTAGTCAAGTTCCCAGATACCATAAGGGCCAATCTTACAAGCAGGCCTTTCTAAAGATAGCAGGCTCAGACCTCTGACGTTAACTCTCTGCTACACACCCCTTCAATCACTTCTGAGCAGTTGGTTAAAATATCCTTTAATGTTCACATTGTTGTTCTTGTTGTTAGGTGCTGTCAAATCGGTTCCTACTCATAGCAACCCTATGTACAACAGAGCGAAACACTGCCAAGTCCTGCGCCATCCTCACAATCCTTGTTATGTTTGAGCCTGTTGTTGCAGCCACTGTGTCAGTCCATCTCATTTAGGATCTTCCTCTTTTTTGCTGATGCTCTACTTTACCAAGCATGATGTCCTTCTCCAAGGATTGGTCCTTCCTAATAACATGTCCAAAGTACATGAGACAAAATCTTGCCATCCTTGCTTCTAAGGAGATTCTGGCCGTCCTTTTTTTTTTTGTTTTTTTAATTTGTGTTGCCACCTTTATTGAATATTAAATTTTTGAGATCTATATTCTTTCTATTGGTCTTTGATAACACCTATAATATTGATAACATTTATAATATTTCTAATAACATTTATAATATTCATGACAGTTATATCTCCTTTCAGTGCTTGCACTTATTTCTTATTTTTTCTAACAGCATTGGCCAGGCTCTCCACTGATATGACAAATATTTGCAATATTAGCAAGAATCCTTATTTTCTTTCCAATTTAAAGGGAAGGTGCCTAAAGATTCATGAATACATATACCATTTGCCCGAAGATTTTGACATAAGATCTTTCATATGTTCAGTAAATTCCCTTCTCTTCCTAACACGCTATTAGACTGGGTTTTCTAGTTTTATTTGAGATTTTGGCATACACATACAGAGGATGTGAGGATGGCACAGGACTGGGCAGTGTTTCACTTCGCTGTACCTAGGGTCACCACAAGTTTGAAACTAACCTGACGGCACACAACAACACATACAGAGGCAATATGGCCTATTATTTTCTGTTTTTTATTGTTCTTGAAATCAAGATAACACTAACCTCCTAAAATCAGGCAGCTATTACACTTCCTCTGTTTTCTGGAACAACTTGTGTAAGACAGGAATTAACTGTTTTTTCAAAGGTTGCTAGATCTAAGGTGACTGTTTATCTATAATTCACATAACCAGAACACATTAGAGAATAAAAAGGAGCATTATTAATAATCACGTCAGGGCCAAAAAGAGTGAACAAGGACTATTCTCAGCAAAACAAACTAGAATTCAATGTTAATATTTTAAGAGTCTGGAACTTAGTGGAGAAGCCTGTCAGTAGCATTTCAGTGGCTTCATACTTAGTTGTGTATTTAGGTTTATATTTCTCCGAGGTATTTTTCAAATTTATTATGCATATTTGCTCATCATGCTGTTGTTGTTGGGTTCCATTGAGTCGTTTCTGACCCACAGCAACCCCACGCACAACAGAACAAAACACTGCCCAGTCCTGCACCA